TTTTACTCATTGTGAGCACAATTCTTTCACGATTCTTTCCTTTGTCTTATCAGAAAGGCAACGTCCAATGTTAAGTGATCTGTGATCTGATCAACAGAGACATTTGCTAAGATTTGGGTGAGAGTAGGATCTGCGCTTGGATCTGTTTCTCGCTCACAATTAACAGAGAACACGATCGCAGCTTCTTAATTCCCTCTACCTCACCAGCTAGCCCTTCTTAACCATTTGGTACGGCAAATGGATTTAACCTTAGAGGCCCACCATCAGGTGCTGACATGACAACGAAAACTGTCCAGTGTTGATGAGAGCCACAGGAGCCTCATCTCCGACGAGAACGAATCATCGGACTCGTGGGAACGTGTTTAGTGGGGGAGCCATGGTAGAAATATATATGATTCGCCCTCCTAGCTCCCCACCCACCATGCGGTGTCAACATGGATGATCCATTTCCAAAAACTCTAATGGGTGCAAAAATACTTACCATGCACAGGGCTTGGCGTGACCAGCCGACTGATAGAACCGGGCCCATTCTCTTTTTAGCGGAATAACTATTTCAAAGTTTCGACAATGAAGAATTATCTTAGTATTTGTTCTGATTTAATTACAGTTTTTATCGGAAATTTTATGGCTGTACGAATGTTTATCAATATGTTTTGCATAGAAAGAGGGTTGAAGTATTGTTACCTGAGAGGGTATGTAAGACCACGTCTTTCAAAGTACATTTCTTCATACCACGTTTTTTTTATTGTCGAATATGTCTTGTTTACATGGGTAAAGAATTATTCGTCGATATCAGCTGATTTGATGGTATAAATCCAGCAGGTGTGAGTGAGTTGAAATTTAAAGTCACCTTGGCAATATTTCAGCCATATTGTGACTAAAACAATAACTATTTTATAATTTTATTGTATTAAATTTGTCACCAAAGTGAGTGAGTGAGTGGGTTAAGATTCATAGTTACATCAGCAATATTTCAGCCATATCGTGACTTTACAAAGATATGGATTCATAATAAACACAATTAAATTATAAAAAAATCTGTCGACGAAGGACAATACAAAAACTAGATTATCACAGACAGAGAATTAAAACTAGCATGTAACTGTAAAATGGAACAACCTTTATGGACAATACAACATAATAATTGGGCTGGAGGTAGGTAACCAAACCAGGGACCATGGGTACTTACAGTACCTTTGCTACCTGCATGGAACCTAGTTGGATTTACACAATATCCTCAGCCGCTGCTGATTTCAGACAATATAACCATAAATTATAAACACACATATTCGGTCCATGCAGGAAGCAAAAGTTCAGTAAGTCCTTATAGTCCTTGGTAAGGGGATCTACCTTCAGTTGTTGGCAGTCTATAGCTTATTTTATATTGTATTGCAATGTCACCTTAGTGACAACTGCTTCTTTTACTGTCAATTGTCAACAGTTATTCATATCATCTAAATCTTGTTTATATTAATATACACATTTCATAGTCACAATATGGCTGAAATACTGCCGACGTGTCTTTATATTTTCAATCACACATTCACAAACTCATATTTCAGACGTAGATATATGCATACAGGTTCGGAGTGACAAAGCCTCTCAACACAACAATATCAAAAAGGGGGACGACTTAGTTTATGTCGAACAATATTCGAAATACATGAAAAGGCAATAGTGGCACATGTGACCATTGCACATTTATATTTACATTAGTTGAAGAGTTACGGCTCAGAAACAAAGCACAGTGTTGTTCACACCGAGGTCCATACGTCGTGAAGTGGCACACAATTATTCTAGCCAATGTACACCGTGACACAAGTAATTATGGAATCCTGGAAGGGACATTGTCGCATTGTCGCCCTCTCAAATACAAGCAAAATGAGGCAAAATAAACGAAAAAGCGAATTGCGACAACGCGACACTTCGGCCATTTGTCGCATTGTCGCGATGTCGCATGTCGCGTTTTGAAAAATATTTTTTCTATTCCTCCAAAGGCGACACGCGACATAGCGACAATTTTCAAGGTCAAAATATGTTGCGTTGTCGCCCTACGTAAGATGTGTAAAAACAGCCTAAAAATTTACTAAAACGCGACAATGTTACTAGGCGACATTTTGATGAAATGTTGCGTTCACGGAATGTAGCGTGTCGCGCTTTGTTAAAATATTGAGTATAGTATGTATTATAACATATGACTACTACGCGACACGCGACAATGCGACAAAATATATGCATTCTAGCACGACTGATAAGCGTTTTAAAACCGAACTGTTTCGCGCGCAAGAACACAAGGCGCAAAGGGGCCTTTTTCCTGGAAATCGTTTGGAATCGTCCCGTTTAGGGACAGGTTGTGTAATGAACAAAATAAGACATTTTCAACAGCATAAATGCTATATTTTAGGAACCAGTATGCTTGTATTTTTAATTAGTAGCATACAGAAATACAAAAGTACAGGTTATACTGTGAGCAAGTACAATTATTTGATTTTTCTCAAGCGAATTATTGATCTCCCCTACTGTATGACAATCGACCCGCCCAAATGCAAGCCGTGAACTCGTTAAGTTTAGTCGCTTCTAACTTTATTCACGGAAATAATTGTTGATAACCACCCTACTATTCCCAATTTGGAAAAGACCTGACATGCCACGTTTTATGTGGGATACATGGACAGTGGAAGTGGAAGGACTGGGCATTACAGCCGGGACGGAAGCGGTCAGGTCAGACGTGTGGGCCAACGTCGACGTCAACACACGTAGATCTGGACCCGCTTTGAATATACTGCCGCTTTTGCGCTGCTGACGAATTTTCCAGCTTCGTAGTTTCTTCACTGGGATTAGGGTCAAGAAATACTTCTTCAAACCATTCGCTTTTTACTTCAAAAACACCAAAGATGCTGCCGAGATAGAAATTGCCGATGTCCGACATGTTTGTTCACAAACAATAGGGTCAACGAGTTCGTTGTATTCATACGCGGTGAATCGGTCACTTTAATTAGCGGTCCTATAAACTGTCATTTAAGTACGGTTTGGATGAACTCTCAGCCAATCAGAATCGAGTATCACACATTGTCGTGCTAGAATACGTTATAATACATACTATACTCAATATTTTAACAAAGCGCGACACGAGACAATGCGACAACGCGACATTTCATAAAATGTCGCGTTGTCGCATTGTCGCGTGTCGCGTTTTAGTAAATACGTTATAATACATACTATACTGAATACTTTAACGAAGCGCGCGGAATTAGTTACGGCGGAAATTAAAAACTATCACAAGCATGATTTCGATGTTTTTAAAGGGCTGACATACCCAGGGATCGAACTCAGAACAATATAAATGAACGTACATGCGGCCGTGAAGTCTGTGGGTTAAGAGTCGTTGGTTAATGGAATGGATGTATTCAAACTGGCCATTTTGCTGAAAATTATTATGATTGAGTAGATGTATGTTTGAAACGATACAAGTAGATGTGTATCGCCGGGTATAGTATCATTATCGATATATTGTGGATCATGGCATGTGGAGGATTAATTATATAGGATTCAAATAGAATTGAAAAACAGACATCACAACACATTATTGTAATGAAATACCTTGCTAATTTACCAAGCTCCCTAAACCTTGAGTGGAGTGGAGTGGAGTGGAGCGGAATGGAGGGAGGGAGGGAGGGTTGGTTTCTGGCACACCAAGGGTACGCGAATCTGCCAAGCGATTTCCCCGTTTTTAGTATCATAATGATAACAGTCCATTTGTATGGCGTTTTCCCAAGAAGAATATCGCGTTCAAAGCCGACCTAAACTGTCTTTGAGGTGCTGGATGGTTAAGTGATATTACCATTTCATTCTGCCTGGTATCCATCCACTGCTGGCTGAACAGAGGCAGATGTCGGACAAATTCATCAGCGTCGGACAGGACTATACCAAGAAACTCTGTCGGGAGCCAAACTGTCGAACATAGTGACCCATTCGAGGACTTCACCTGACGTTTCTGCCGATGTGGCCTGAATTTTAACAATATTTCAGTTTTTTCACAACCGGTGAGCTTGATATCGGTTAAATGTCCAAAGTGAGTGAGTGAGTGAGTTTAGTTTTACGCCGCACTCAGCAATATTCCAGCTATATGGCGGAGGTCTGTAACTAATCGAGTCTGGACCAGACAATCCAGTGATCAACAGCATGAGCATCGATCTGCACAATTCGGAACCGATGACTTGTGTCAACCAAGTCAGCGAGCCTGACCACCCGATTCCGTTAGTGTCCTCTTACGACAAGCATGGGTTACTGAAGGCACATTCTAACCCGGACCTTCACGGGTTCCAAAGTGATGAATGTGTATGGTGCTGGGATTCGAACCTATGATCATAGATTTCTGGTGTGACTAAGAGACACAACTCTGCGCAGCAAATTGCCCCGCTTGAATGACAGGGCCACCGTGTGCCGTCATTACAATGAATAGTAGCGCCTTCTCGGATTCCCTAAGTAATGGCACTGCCAATATGACAAAAAAGTGAGTGAGTTAATATTTAACGCCACATCGGCAATATTTCAGTCATATCGTGACGTGAACATATTTGACGTTGAAATGGAATACGTGCAATACTATAAAACCTGTCGTCAAGGTACAGTAAAACAGCTTGACTATCACAGTTAGAATAAAAACTAGCATGTTAAGTTAAAACTAATGGCACTGTTTGGACAATGCATTATATAAAAACGGACTAAAGATCTCAAACAACAGAAGGTAGGTCACCATACTGGCAATTTGAGCAATGTAGCCATAAATTAAAACTACAAACATTCTACGATTAAAACTATGGCAATGATCAATATACACTGAACGATGTGGTCTTAAGACATCACAAGAAAGGGCAGGAGAGATACACATTGCAAAAGAATTGTGGTTCGTAATCCCAATATGGAAAAACTATAGACCATATTCGACACATGCTTCCCGAATAAACACTGTGAACTAAAAATGCATTTTGTATTTACAGGATACAAGCACAAGGATATGGTATGTATTCATAATCCTTTTTTCCTGTTTTTTAAAATCTCTGTTTATGCAGTTCTTGAAAAAAAATAACATATAGATGGCCAAAACGTTAACGAGGCCCCAGAGGGAATAACTTTAAATTTACTAAAACAGGTGATAGTTACGAGGCACATAATATCTGCGTCGGGGGCCAGGGGCGTATCTAGCCAATTAATATGTGTTGGCAAAATGTTAAGAGTAATCCCTGCACCAAAGCTGATACCGTCACAAACCGTGCCTCGACTTCTTACGGCGCTTCTGGGGCATTGCACGACGTCCAGCAAGGCGACCGATTCTCCCGTCACAACATCGACAGCGACGCGTACATTGAGCAAGGCATAATGGAGATGGCCTGTGCGTCTGTGGGACCGTGTCTTGTTCACTGATGTGTCCAGGTTTATGTTAAACAGAGCTAATTGCCGAGCACGAATGTATCGTCGACATGGCGAGGCATCAGCGTTATGATCTGGGGTGGAATAACCACTACACATTACAGATTTGATCATCGTCGCCGGCAATCTGACTTGGCAACGGTATCGGGATGAGGTGCTTCAACCAACGGTTTTACCGGTCATCAGGCACCATGCACCAGGAGTGACGTGACAGCAGGACAACGCTAGACCACGTATACCGCCGGGATCGTTCAACATTTTCTGGCTCAGCACAATGTTGCCGTCTTACCCTGGCCAGCAAGATCCCCCATTCATGTCGGCTATCGAACATGTCCATGCGACGGAGGAGTGGTGCCTGTATCTACGGATCTGGTGGTCATACCCGGTATTAGACTGTGAACTGTGACACAATTCACATTGCCATTTTACTGTTTATAATCCAATAATAGGATAGGCATTCACAAGCCAGATGTCTATTCTGTACATTAAATGTATTTGACTTGCATTTTGTTTCTTATGTATTTATCTATGTCACTTTGAATGGCGTCACAATTTTTGTCGTTGAGTATATATTCCACCAAATTTAAACAAACATTTACATCCTTTCCATAGTAGTTTCAATTTGCCATAAAAAGTACATATTTCATGTTTTGATTATATAGTCTTTTGTAAGGAAAACATGTAAAAGGGCTTGGCTTTCACAGAAATATATGCCTTAAGGCATTATTTCTGTTAACTTTCATCATGCATTTAACATAAACGTATGTACATTCAAATGTAAATTACCTTTGAGGAAATGCACATGTACGTATGAGCGTTTCGTCATTCAGTTGTTATGATGGCCTGTTTCATCACGGGTTTTGCAGCTTCCCCCTTCGTTCAATGCGGCTAAATCTGGAGATGGGGGTATACTACTGGATTGACTTTCAATAGGAGGTTCAACAAAGTTATTTGAGCAAAATGTCACAAATGTTTCCCTGGATCTCAAAACGCCGAGGTTACGCCATATCATGCTCAGAGTTATATCCCTTTACATGAATGGGGACGCAAATCTTAAATCAGAGACGTTCTGGAAGCAAACATGTATTGCTTTAGGAACATGGGGTCGATTCTCCTGATATCTATTTTTTTTAAAATAAATTAGGGCAAGATTACAGAATACCGGATACCTATCCGCCATATATTTTTTGATTGCGCATTTATTTTTGCGCACTTCCGTTTTGTTTCCTTAGCAACGGCACGCCATGAATGAAGGCATGTTGAAGCAGCGTTCAATATTAAATATTAAATATTAAACAATATTAAAGCTAAAAAAAGGTAAGATAATGGGGGTAAAGGGGGTACCCCCCTTTATTTAAAAGCCTTACCTTACCAATCAAAAAACACTTACCATCAGAGTGTTCCAACACTGTAGAGTTCCTTTTCCCAGCGTGCATTTGAATAAAATTTCAACACACGATTACTTTTTACTCTGTTTACGTCAGTGAACGCTGTTAAAATCCCCAGTTTAGGTTTCCTAAACCGGAAGTAAGGTGAGGAATTCGATTTTAACCTTATTTTTTACCTTAAATTCTTATTTTTATTGGATCGCTCGAAGGCTCGCACTCTCTGTTTCTTCAATAAATAGGAGCCTCACGCGCACAATAGAATCAGAGACCATATACCGATATGGTCTCTGATAGAATGTATATAATTAGGTATCCGGTATTCTGTAAGTGTACCTAAATTAGTTATAACAGTGTATATTTATCATACGTGCATATCCATGCTTTTAGCAGTTTGGAATATGTGTTCACATGTAAACATTTCTTTTTTTAACAATTTTATTATTTCGTTTTTTTTATAGTTTTGCTTTTAGAAAACTAGGTTTAAGCAATTGTCTGTGTGCCTATACATGTAGCAGCTACGCCCCCGGACAAATTCCCGATAATTCACCACTGAAACAAATGCTAATACAGGAGGAAGTATATGTCATGTCCAGATTTATGTACGTTTCCTGACATGCCCTATATGGTATAGGGTGTATATTTCATATCGTGCTGCACCTTTGAAACATATGCTCATAGAATGTTGAATTTCAAAGCATGATTTCAAACTTTGATACCAGAGTAAATGCTTGAACTAAGTACGCCAAGCTGACAGACAGACAGTTTTTATTTAGTAAAGAGGCCTACGACCCATAATACAGGCAAATGACTTTGTATTTATTGCGCGCTCAGTTTGACTTTGCAGTTCTACATCCTGAAATTAATCAGTTTCTGCACATGACATAAGTATAGGCCAATATTGTATATAACTTCATCATTTTTGTTTTGCAAAAGATTTACAATTGAATAATAAATTCATATTTCTTTAGTGAACTTTGTTATGTATGTAGTTCTAAGTTTCTCATAGGCATTACAGATAAATAGTACATCCTATTCATTTTCTACATAAAAGGGACAGAGTCCTTTGTTATATTCCATTCGTATTTACCTGGCACATTTAACAGTAATAATAGAATTACTACATCTACAACTACAACTACAATATTGATATAGCAATTCTTAAATGCATTGAACTGACAACACAAACATCTTTCAACAGTTAATAAGGTTTTAAAATCCTTATAAAATATACATTTAGGAGATTCACTGATTGATGAATACCAAAAGTATTATAAGTTATCATACTAGCCTTAGCTACAACAGATACACAAAGTACTCCACATTTCCAATTTCTTGGCGTAGGCTAGCATAACCAAATAATGAATAAAGTACATAGTTCATTTGTAATGCGCATTTTGCTACACATAATACATGTTTGTAGCACCCAACATTGAAAGTCACACCACAGAGGATTAACGTAAGTTCATTTGGTACACTTCAACATGTAGAGTAGGCTTTTTGGAACCGATAAGTTTTCAAATATGATCTGAATGCTGACTTTGATGTTGCAGTTCTTAGAGTGTGGGGAAGGCTGTTCCATTCCTTTGCTGCAAAGAACACAAATGATCTTTGGTCATACCTGATCTTTGGCCATCCATATTGAAACTTTATGGGCCTAACGTTTGTTACCCAGGTATTATAACCTAAGGTATCTAATGATCTTAACATTAAATAACATTGATATGTGAGTTTATGTTGTGGCATATTGTAAAAGTCTACGCCAGAATTTAATCACTCCTGACATGTACAAATGTTGCAGTGGGAGTCTGCGACACTTGCCAAGAACTATACCATTTAATGTAATTTCTTTTACTCTTAAGCAATGTTTGGAAAATTTGATTGCACAGCCTCTATTATTTTGGAATGACAAGATTCCCACATTTCAGAGCCATAACAAAGAATAGGCACACTCACTGAATCGAAAATATTAAGTAAATTAGTACAAGCTATGTTACCAATTTTTCTCTGAAACCTATTTAAAGACATAATAGATATACAAGCCTGGGATGGAAGACGCGTCTGGGCCCCGACAAGCATGGACGTGAAAAGTAATTCAAAATACCTATAAAACGAAAGCGTTTCAACAGTATATCCAATACAATTATTTTGATCGTAATAGGTGCTGAAATTTTCAAATCTGTTCAAAGTTAAGTTCAGTTGGCAATAGGGTCATTTCCGGCAAGGAAACAACAGTAAATAAGAAGTATCAATGTATACTAGCCACATAAAGAAACTGTGCATTGTCAAAATATTATCCCAGTTGATAAGTACGATAACAATGTCAAAGGTACATATAAACTTTAATGGAGGGATCATGAGACTATAACAAGTCGGGAGAATTTCAATTGAAAAGTCAATCACAATGACGTCACGAATCCACAAGCGGGACAGGGGTCAAACGACCATGTCACAAGCTCAATAACGGGTATGTCCACCATCGGCATTGAGAACAGCAGTGCATCGACGACGCATAGAGCCTATCAAACGTGCAAGGAAGGCTTGTGGGATGTCACGCAAGATTCTCTCAAGTTCTGTTGCAAGGTCAAGGACGTTATCTGGCGGATGAGGAAGACGGCGTAGACGTCGAACCATCTCGTCCCAAACATGCTCTATCGGGGAGAGAGCCGGTGAATTTGCAGGCCAAGGCAGTAAGTCAACTTTATGACCCAACACTGCCGCTGTTACAGGTCATTGGCTCCCCTCCCTCTGCAAGGTATCTGCGTTCTGCTGTTTGTTTTGTTGACAGTTACATAGACAGATTCTTTAATACAAATGCATAAAATCGGTGATTTACAATGTGATTAGGTTGTCTGACAAAACATCCACTTGCACAGTTTGAGATCGATTGGGTCATTGGATGAAGAGATATTTACATAAAACCGGGTCCACATACATTTCATGCCAAACTATAGTTTACAATCAGATGCCCGCTCACGCGGGAAAACAGATCTTTCAGATTTCTCGCAACATAATGTGCATCCCTTGCAGTCGAAAAGTCCACACAGTCAAAGAATATGCTTGATGGTGAACACTTCATCGCATGAGACACACATGAGAGTCCATCGTCCATCCCCATCTGTTTTCAGCAGATAGTCATGAGTAAACCGACTATGGCCAATACGGCATCGTCGTGAAATTACCTCATTACGTCTTGACTGACAAC